CCCGGCATAGGGGGCCGCGTGGGCGGAAGGAGTCTGGGCCGGGCGGGGGAGGGGCCCAGGGCCGCGGAGACGGTCCCTGGAGCGGGGCCACGCGCTGCAGTGGGGGTGTGAACTGGGTGGAGGGGGAGGCAGTAACCTCTCAAAGGTGGGGGTGGGCGAGTGGGGGCGGCCTCGGATGCGCTCACCCCGAACCTGCTGAAGGCGATGACGCCCCGCGCCTTGCACAAGGGCGCCCCCTGATGGCGCCTCACGTGTCAGACACGGTTTCCATTTCTTATAAACGTTTAACAGAATCCTAAGAGCGCTTCCTAGAAACTGGTCGCTGGGCCGAGATCTCCTTTGGGGGATGCTTCCCAGAGCAGAGGCGCAGAAAAGTCATACAGCCCGAAGTGGCAAGAGCCAAGATCCCAATCGGTGCATCCATTGATTCAGCATTAAGGAGTCCCTACTGCATGCTCTGGGCTGGGGAAACGGCAGCACACAGATGGACAGGTCCCTGGCCTCCCAGGGCTTACAGTCTAGGTAAGGAGACAGAAAGCAAGTAAACAAATAAATGAGCAAAATAATCTCAGTGCTGCGGAGGAAATAAACCAGGGTGTGGAGCTAGGCAGCAACTGTGCTCTCGGCTTCCCCCAGCCTGTCGCCCCCTCACTGTTCCCCGGGGGACGGGGATTTGTCAGCCTTGGCTTCAAGACAGGCAACAAAGGAAGGTGGCTCCGGGGGTGGAACTAAGGTGGCGTGGGGGGGTGCAGATTCACAAGGCCAGAGTCGCTGGCATCCTTGGCACCGGCTCACATGTACCACCGCTAGCACCTGCAGCCTCAGGCTTTCCCACTGTGGCCAACCGGCTGAATTATTTCTTCATCTCCACCCGATGAGTTTTTAATCTGTCTTTATACAGCAGCTCGGCTGCCTGTGCTAGGATTATTAGCGAGTTCTCTGCACATTGATTCTGCCTCTCCTGGCTGCTCTGACCAAGTGAGGCTCTGAGATGGTAGTAGGAGGGGTCCCCAGCTCTGGAGAAATTAAGGGGCGCACCAGAGCTTGCAGCATTCAGAACCTTGGGATTTCAGAGGTACTACCCTGGAGGAGGCTGTAGTCAAGGTGTAGGGGTTTGAGTAGAAGGGGCAAAGTCTCCAATTTGAGCTCAGGAGATGGGGCTGTTCTGGCAGATTCAGGTTACTACCCATTTGGGCAGCTGCTTGTTCAGGTAACTACCCCTTCCTTTTTTTTTGGTAATGGGGATTGAACTCAGGACCTTGTGTTTGCCAGGCAGACGGTGGAACCGCTAAGCTAAATCCCTGGCCCTCTACCCCTACTCTTAAGGGACAGGTAAAAGGAGGGAGAGGCTGAGATGGGTTGGGACAAAGACAGGAGGTCAGGAGGAAGGGGTTTGGTCCTAGCTCTGCTGTTTACAAGCTGTATGCCCTTGGGCGATTACCTGGTCTCTTCTGTCTGTGAAGCAGGGGTGGCTGCTGAGTGTATCCATCGAGGCAGTGCATGCCCTGAGCCTCCACAGTGGACGCTCAGTAACATCGGCTGCTATTAATATCTCTACCTGTAACCTGGGAATGGGAGGCCTGGCTCTGCTTCCTGGAGAGATCTCTTGGGAAACTGAAATGGACCGAGGTGCCAAGTCCACGTGAGCAACTATCATTGTTGATTCCCGGCCAGCTCACCGACACTAATAAAGGTGTGAGGAGGCGTCAGGCAGACACAAGATACTCGGTCCTGCCCACATTTGGTCAGTGACAGACACAGTCTCAGCAGCTGCTGAGAAATGCAGCTTTGATGCACCCTCCTCCACCTCCCAGCCTGCCCGCAGAATGGGGGACAGAGGCCCCAATGGGCACTCTTCACCCACCATGCTGCCAATAGAAACTTGGGAGTGGCCTTTCAACCGTGCAAGCCTGACTGTCCTTCATTGCCCTGGACCAAGGCCCATGGGGCCTAGGACTTTGTTGCAATCCTGCCTTGGCCTCTCTTGCCTCTGCTTTAAGGACAGAGACTTTGTGTGCTGATCCATCAATAGAAGGTGATCAGTCAATATTTGTTGAATTGAGTTGACCCTACCCTAGTCACTGAGGCTGGGGACAGTATCTTCTCTCTCCTTCTAAAGCTCCCAAACTCCCCCCTGAAATATGTATTTGTGTCTCTCTCCTTCAACAGACTGGAAACTCCTCAAGTCCAGGGCAGCTTCTTCCTGTTTACTGCTCTGTCTTCAGTGCTCCTCTTGTCGTAGGTGCTCCAGGAAGACTGAATGAATAAATAAACGAGAACAGTGCTGCTGGGTTCCTCCTCTCTTTAGCGCCTCCTGCTGACCCTCCACCCCCATCTTCTTGTGAGTGTCTCCCGGGTCTCAGGACCAGCCCTTCGCTTCTGCGCCCCTCCTCTTTCCATCTCTTTCCTCCATTCGTTCCCAGCTCGTTCTGGCCTCGGCTGCCCCTCCTGATGAGGAGCAGAGCTGTCATTGCCCCTGCTCTGGCTCCAAGAAGAGCAGGCCAGGCCTTCCCACCCTCCAAACAATGCAACTCCGGGTCTGCAAACTCAGGGAGGCTGAACCCCTCTCTCCTCAGTCAGCCAGGTCTAGCAAATGCTAAGTCATTGCTGGCTGGTGCCTGTCTCCAGCTCCTCCAGCCTGCGGAGCTGCCAGGAGCGGAGCAGAAAAGCCACGCCTGGCAGCAGCCAGAATGCCTCACACCTGATGCGGAGGGTGCCTGCCTCCCTTCTTCCAGATCTCCCCTCTTCGAGGATGCATGGGGGTCCTAGGACTGGGACCAGGCCTGAGTGGACCCACCAGTGCTGTCCCACCTCAGTGCCACCTGCTAACTGCACCCTCCACTGCCAAGGGTACCGGGGTGCATGCTAGCAACCCAGCCTCAGTTTCTCCACAGGGCCTTCCTGCTGAGGAGCTGCCAAGGGTACATTTGCAAGGCTGCACCAAAGCTGCAGTGCCTGTGAATGCTAATAATTAAGCCCCTACAAACTGCCTGTAGATAACCATAATCCCTTGTATTTATATAGCCCTGAGCACATTTCAAGGCATTTTCATATATATTATCTCGTATGATCTCCCACAGTAATCCTATTGGGTAGTTCTGGGAAAGGAATTAACGTCCTTATTTTGAAGAGGAGAAAACCAAGACTTCAAAAGGAAAGAATCTTGTCTGAGGTCACACAGCCTGTGGGGACCAGAGCTGGACCCAGGATGCAAGTTCCTGACAGTCCAGCGATCTTAGCCATACCATTTCCTAGGATGCTGGAGTAGCCTACAGTGCAAACCCACCTAGCTCTCCCTCCCGTTTCCCTCTCCCAGTTCTGGAGATCAAACCCAGGGACATTCCGCCACTGAGCTACATCCTCAGCCATTTTGTTTGTTTGTTTGTTGTACCAGAGACTGAACTCAGGACCTTGCCTTTGTGAGGCAGGCATGGTGTCACTGAGCTAAATCCCCAGCTCTTGCCCTTTTTTATTTTGAGACAAGGTCTCACTAATTTTCCCAAGCAAGACTTGAACTTGCAATCTTCCTGCCTCAGCCTCGCAGAGCTTTGGAATTATAGCCATGCACCACTGTGCCCTGCTCCATTCATCCTCTTAGGAACAAATCATTGTTTGAGCACTATGCACAAATTGAATTATATCATTTAGTTCCCCAACACAACTTTATGATGTGGACAGTATTACTAGTCCCCATGTCACAGATGAGATGGCCAAGATCAGAGAAGTTAAGTAACTAACCTGGATCACACAGGCTATTTAGATGCTAGATACAATGGTATTTTGAACAATGGTGTTTGAACAATCTCAGACTTTAACACCTGCTAGGCTATTCCAGCTTAAGTGAAGCCCCTACTGAGACCAAACCTCCAGAAGCTCGTCCTTGTGTGCAGGATCCTTGGGCAAATCTCTTTCCGGAGCTCTCTGCGCTTCCAGCTCCCTCGTGTTCCCCTATGCATCTGATGAATATTCACAAGGCCTTCCTCTGTGCCTGGCATTAGGAGTGCCCCAGTGCCCAGGGCTCTGTCTCCTGCTCTGGAGTAGCTAGCCCAGGTGGGGGAAATCTAGGAAGCCTTCCTGGAGGGGCCCCCGAGATGAATCTTGAAAACTCAGTAGAGGGCAGACAGCGGAGAAGGAAGTGAGGAGAATGTACAGGAAAACAAGACCACAGGCAAGAGGGAGCCAAACTTGTTCAGAGACGGCATAAAGGGAGCAGTGGCTGCAGCCCAGGCAGCCGTGGGGAGGAGAAGGGCACGGTGAGACTTGTGCATGCCCGGAGGTGGGGGTGCTGCTGGCGAGTGACCTGGCCACCTCTGTGGTAATGCCGTGGAGGCTGGGGACAGCGGAGACAAGGGACACTGTCCATTTTTGGGCAGGACTTTTCCAGGCATCTCTGGTGCTAGGTCTCGGAGCCAGCCCTGCAGGCTGTGAGGTGTGGGAAGCAGCCTTCCAGGGACCCCTTGGCAGAGATCGGGGGTTGTGTGGAAGAGGTGAGAGCTGACAGCCAGAGCTTCCCCTCAGCAATGCCCAGTGAGATACCCGTCTGAGAGCAGGCAGCAGGAAGGGCATTTCAGACTGCGGAAATAGCATCTGCAAAGATTCGAGGCAAAGGAGCAAAAGACCAGCTAGGGAGCTAATGTCATTTGATGTGGCTGAAGCCAGGGTCTGGGCTATTCAGGTCCACAGTGCACATCAGGATTGGACTTCGGCCTTTATTAGTAAGAGTCGAGGGCTCTGTAGCTGGGAGCCCCCCTAGGTTCAAGTCCTACTAGCTATGCATTTGTGGGCAAATTACTTTGTCTCTCTCGTTCTTTTTTCTCATCTGTAAAATGGGATCATTGTGATAATTAAACAAAAGACACAAAGGCCTTAGCATAAATGCAACCTATATTATTATCACTATTGTTAATACTATGAATGGCCCCCATGGTGGGATCCCCAAGGTGGAGTACAATTTCGTAAGGGAGAAATCTCATTTTTATAAAGTAAGAACAAGTTGCAACATGCACTTATCTGCAATCTCCACATTCACAGACTTGTGAAATTTCATCTGCAACTATTTTCTCAGAGTGTCAGCCCATCCCAAATCAGATGACGGATGTTGGATGTCACAGGAATGATAGGAGTGTTATAGCACCAGCAGCTGGCTTAAGGCTGGGATCAGGTGTGGGGAAGTGGAGGGGGCCTCTCGGCCTCCAGAAGATGACTACGCCCAAGTTCCTAAACTGGGATGACGGTGGAGGGCACTTTAGGGACTGGAAGCAGCTCTACTTGCCCCAGGTAAGATAGGACATAGAATCATCCAAGCTTTCTGGAGTGCATGCTCTGAACAGAGTCTGGGCTTAACATGGAAATTTACAATCTTCCAGTGTCCTCAGCTCATTTCTTAGAATCTGAACTAAGCTTTGGGAATTAAGTGGTTTGTGTGTGTGTGTTTACCACAAGACACAAAGCTCTGATGGGTCACACAGGACAGGTGAACCAGGACCAAGAAGGCTGTGCTTTGGAGTCCCCCCAATGGGTTCAAATCCCACCTCTGTCTCTGACACAGCACAGGCCTCTGACAGGCTATTCACCTGGGTTTTGGTTTCTCCAGTTATCCTGAACAGTAATTAGGTCCACTTCAAGGGTGGTGTGAAGACACAAGGAAATCATACACGGAGAGTGGTTGATACAGAGCCAGGTGCATGATCAGGACCAAAAACTAGAAGTAATCAGCTGACACTAATAGGATGATCTCCTCCTCCTGGAAAGACTGGTCAGAAAGCCTCCCCAGCGCTGGCTACTCAAGGAGACCACTTGACCAAGAGCCTCCTGCCTAAGACCCCAGCTGTCTCCTTATGAAATGAGAGGTGGGGATCAGGCACTGACAGACAGACCTGTGAGCCTCGCTAGGGTCAGTGTGCCTAGGAACTCCCCACTATTCATAAGGAATAAGTTGGGTCTTGGCCTAGCTGTGACAACAGGGAAGGAAGTCAAATCAGCCACAGGGCCGGCTGGCATGCAGTCGGGTAAGTTCGAGAGCTGCACTGGCCGCTCTGGTGATAGGTTTTGGTGGAAGCGGAGAGCAAGGCCAATCATTTTTCTGGCCTTCTGAAATTCAGAAACATGAAGTTTAAGAAAAAAAACAGCACACACAAAGAAATGATTTTTGCAGCTGTTTTGGCATTTGGGGAGTAATTTACCAACTTCAAGTTCGACTTAATGAAGTTGGGGGTAGGCAGCTTCCAGGGGCGTTCTGCTTCCCAGCAATCTGCAGGCCCAGCCAGCAAAGAGGGCTGCACGGGTGGTCGGTGGGGAGCATTAACAGGAACACGTTTTGTATTTGTCATCGGAATGGCGCCCCCGGGCATAGGGGCAGGGCCCATGGCCACTCAATGGTGTATTTGTCATGTGGCCACTGACACAATCAATTGACCCCCTTACACACCGGTGTTTATTAGCCATTGTATAAATATTTCACCCCTCCCGGTTGACACATAATCTCTTCTTTGCTGCCTCTGACAAATGAACATTTCTCTGTAGACTCTTAAATGAGTATGTGTCACAGCTATGTCACTGATTAATTTTTTTACCACCACGAACAACGATGCATAGAAATGTAACTTATATTCATTTCCCGGCTTGAGCCCAGCTGTCTAAAAAATTCCACCAGCAGCTATGACTGACAGACAGCTATCCCAGAGCTTGGGCGTGTGACATGTGGTTGTGTGAGTACCAGCTTGTTAATTACTGGCTTTCTCTTCCGGCTTGGCTGCCGAGTAACCAGCCACAAGGACCTTAATCACCATTGGTGCCCGGCAGGGCCTCCTGCAGAGGGCTCCAGGGGCCAGCGCCCCAACCCAGCCTAACCACACAGCTTTCTCTTCCAAGCACGGCTGCCTTTTCCTACGGGCCCTGGTTTGGAAATGTCCCTGAAGTCACCTCAGTAGCACTCACTGCCACTCCACACTCTCCACCTACTGATGTGAGAGATCATGAGGGTAGGGACTGGGTCTTGTTGTGCTTAGCACAGGGTGGATGTGCTAGAAATATTTGCTGACAGGAAGTCAACTAAAGCGCAATTACTGAACAATGTTCCAGCCCCCTGACACGTGTCATTTATCTTTTCCATGAATATCCTCAAAGCGCCTACTATGTACAAGGAGCAAAGCAGACAGGCCTATGAGCTGGGTCCAGAGGAGAAGGCAGCCAGTGCTTTAGGGGAGAAGAGTGTGTGATCAGAACGGAACCAGGACCTGGAGCCTCCCACTCACCCCTCGCAGGCCCATCAGTGACTAAGGCCCTGGGCCTGGTCGCCTGGGGGAAGTTCAGGTTCAGTGGGGACTAGAGACACTGGAGCTGGGCACTGATTGCTCCCTGTTTCCAGCTGAGGTCTTGCCTTTAGCCACACAGCACTCACGGTGTGGTAGGGCTGGGAAGAGAGCCCGAGACAACTGGCCCTCAGCCATGTCAACTGACCATCTCAGCCCACCACCCCAACCCCACTGTCCTTGTCCTCGGCTGCCTCAGTTTCTCTGCCGCTGTGACTTTCCTTTCCTTCTTCTTGTTCTTCTCCT